GTTTTTTTCCAATCATTTTTTGCTTTTGGAAATACCAACTTTACCTTTTTTTTTTTTTTTTTTTTTTTTTTTTTTTTTTAGAAATTTTCTAAGATTTATCTCAAATATCAGTTTTTTTGGTGGAAATTTACTCTTTTTCCATCTACAATGGCCCAACAAACTGCAAAGTTTCTCACAAGAAAAGTAAAATGTTTATTCCTCTGGTTACCTGGATTTTTGGCATCGGTATCTTCATGGTCCAGGCCTCCACCTTGCAGATGACGGCTACAGCGACGATGATTACGACGATAAAAATGGACCCCAGTATGACGGCAAGCATTACCAGTCCATCAACTTCTGCACCAGAAATGTAAGCAGACAGTGATCAGGTTGGGGAAAACGCCTTTCTGTTTGAAGATGTCTGGATTTTAAAACATGTCTGTTGCTTATTTTATTTCAGTTGAATCAAGATCAGTTTTTTAGTCAAATTGGTTCCAATAAGTTTTAAATCTGACAATAATTTAGTAATTGATTTTTCTATGGCTTATTCTGATGATTAATTAGATATAAAAAATTAGCCACTTGAGCTTATTTTATATATTTACAAATAAACAACTAATCACTAATCCAAGCTCTAATTAAGGCAAAAGTAAGTCTTTAAGAGATGTTGGAGTTTCAGATTTGATCAATAATATATAGTTTGATATCAGAATCATCTGTATTAGACATATATGTGCACAGTTAGACCAAAATATAAGACTTTTATACGGCGGCCATTTTGAATTAGAAGTAAACGCCGTTTCAAAAGATGAATATCTGTGACGTATCTGTATAAACATGGTGTCTGGAAACCTTTCATGGTATGATCCATGTTTTAATGCAACATTTTCTGCATTTCCAGTAGATACTTACCCGGCTTTTCAGAGCAGTATTTCTTCGTCTCTTTGAACGCTATTTGGCTAACACACTGGTCAAAGCACAGGACGCCCTCTAAGGTGACGCAGTCTTCCGCAGGGAGCGTCACGTCGAGTTTGCAGGTTAAATCTGACACACGGCATGACCCTCTGAACTGAAATCACATAATCATCACAGGTATTAGTGTTTGGTATCCCAAAGTCCTGTTTGGATGCAAACTGAGCTCCAACAAGCTGTAATAATTTGCAAATACAGTCTGCATGACTAAATCTCAACAGGTTCCTCCTCTCCATCCTCTCCATCAACTCTGTTGTCTCAGTCAAATGTAGAGAGATAATTAGGAAAACAAATACATTTTTATGTGATTTAGCCTTTTATCCACAAAAAACTTAATGTCCATAAAAAAATTATTTATAAAAACTCTCAAAAAATCTCAAAGTGGAGATTTGAGCAAACATTTTGTTTGCGTGTATACACGGGAAAACGGGGATTTAGGTTCTTATGCATTATTATCTGCAACAAACAATTCACCACATGCTTCCTTTCATACGATTCCCAATCGATGTTTTATTAACTTTATACTCTAAAATGCTATTTAAAAGCAGTTAAACTTTGAAATCTGCACACAAATGAACCTGCTGATGCCATGTTAAATTACTAACAGGAAGTGGAGGGCGTTAGAAGCAATCTGATTGGCTGACAGGTTTTAACTTTGCTGTTTTGGGTATTGAGGGCAGTCTAGCGCCCCCCATGAGCCCCTGAGCGCACAAATTTGCTCGTGGGCAAATTTGTGCAGGTTTATTTGGGTAAAAGCTTTTCTGAAACCAGTCCCGTGTTTAAAATATGTTTTTAAACAATATGGCCAACATATTTGTTTTCATAAAGACTCGGCTTGGTGTGTGCAAAGCCTTAGACAGCAGCTTTAAAGTCAAACAACAAGAAGGTGCTTTCCAACCTCCTCTGCTGGTTAATCTGTTATCCACCAGCCAAACTCTGCCATTTATGAAGCTCCGCCCCATTAAATGCTGGACTAACAGAAGTTAGTTAAAGGTGGTTGCATATTTAATTCTCTCAAAAGCTTGTGATAACCAACATTTTAAATGAACTATTTTATATTTATATTATCAAAGTGGTGCAGTTTCAGCAGAAATCAGATGCAACACACCAGCAGTGTTTCCTTTTGCGGTGATTACTCTGTGAAACTGATGTAAAATCACTCCAAGCTGAGAAAATCTGAGACAATGACAGATTTTAAACAGAACAGAAATGTTAGCGTCAACTTGTGGATGAGATCAGGATTACAGCCTGGTGTTTTATAGCCATCAGATCTTTTCACTGTAAAAAAATAAAAACAGTTTACAATGGTAGCTTACTTCAGATGGGTAAACCGTGAAATAGAGAGCAGCGTTACTGTTCCGTGTGACAGTTCTCTTCAATTCGTCGTAGAAACGGAGGGGATTTGCAAACTTCACAGAAGCCCCATCTTCAGCCTTGTGGACCTTCACAGGAGGAAGATCTAACAAACCTGAAAGAAGATCATTTAAAGTTTATCTGCCTGACTCCTTTCACCTGAAACCCAAGTCAAGCATCCTGTGAGAGCATCAGGAAGCTGGCTGGAAACCAGTACAAACACCACAGTCCAGCTCCAGTCAAGCTTCAGTGCCAGGCAAACTTATTCATAACCTTCATTTATTCCTCCCACAAAAACGTGTTTGTGTTTTAAACTAACGCAAAGAGGCTCATGGTCAAGAAATACAAGGAAAATAACATGGTTTTAACCCCTTCACCCACAGAAAAACCCGCTGTTCTCATTATACTTTAGTTTTATTTAATTTTAACTTTTTGTTGGGTTTAATTAGTTAAGAGAGTCATTGCTGGTTTTTATTAGTTAAATATGTCTTAGTATTAGTTTAGTTTGTATTAGTTATATTAGTTTTTAAATACTTTGGTTCATTTTTTTCAAAAAGGTTGAAGTATTGTGATTACATCGATTAGGTAATAAATACTCAACAGAAGAAAACGTTTTCAAACAACATATTCAGTTACTGCTGAACAACCATCTGACTGTCGTTTTCTGCCGTCGCCGTTTGTGGACCAGCGAAACGCCGCCAGCAGGAGAACGCAGCTGGTTTCAATATTTACTCAAGAAGCTAAAAATTTAGCCTGAAATGAATATTTAACTTGCTAATTAAACATTTAGTTGGAGTAAAATGTTTACTTTATAAACTAGACTTAGGTAGACTAGTAAAGTACTTTAGTACACTAGTTTAGTTATTAGTTATGATAGTTTACTAGTAGTTCAGTAAACTACTAGTAGTTTACTGAACTACTAGTTCAGTAAACTAGTAGTTCAGTTTACACAATTGTAAATTGTGACCCAAATGACCCAAATTATTGCACTTAATTTTTTGTTTATGCAGTTTTACAAATGGCACCCCATAAAAGTCTGTAGGTGCCGAGTCGCTGAGCATGCTGAATAATTTTACTTACATTTGATATCAACCACCATTAACTGGTTGAAGGAGAAGGACTTTGAATTTACGGCTTCTGACCGATCGCCTCCTTGGACGGCCGTTACAAAAACAACCAGGTAAGACAGGTAGCGTTCCTGAGAGCCCAGCACAAACTGGCTGAGGTCGTACTGGTGCTCCTCTGTGCTCGCTTCAAAAGACCTTCAATCAAAGCAGGAAAACAAGACGATTGTTTAATTTCATTGATTTTGCTCTAAATCAAAGACATGAAGAACGCACCAAGGAGCAGCAGCAGATACTTACCCTACAACTTTAGATCCAGTGACGTTTACCCAGAAAATGGTTTGAGGTTGATGTTTGCTGTAATCCCAGCTAACTGTGATTTTCAGGTTTTCGCATTTCACCGTCACATTTGATGGAGGTGGAACTGCAAAAAAGAAAAGCAAATAAGACTCTGAAAGACAATTCTCTTATCGATTTCTGCTTTTTTGGAGAAAATATAAGTATTTCACATTCTATTCATCCTCTGGTGCATTAAACAGAGTTAGGCAAACCAGAAGTTCAACAATAAGCTCTGGTCAAAGTATTGTAAATAAAACTATTTCCATAATTAAACCAAAACGACTCAGAACTGGCCTAGAAGTCCTCCTCCACACCTGTGGGGGGCGCCACAACAAAAACCACTGAAAGAAACAAAAAGATGAGATGAGAGCAACTTCCTTCTTCACAAAATGTAAACAAAAATGGAGTAGCGTCGGATTTTAGAGGCTGTAGGATTTCTGTTTTATCTTTGATAAAAGACCACAATCCATTTCTCACTCTAGAGTTTAATATTTACCCAGAATGCCTGGCGCTATAGTCTACTTCCTGCTTTTTCAGCAGTCTCCACTCTGCTTCAACCAGACCCAGACTTATGTTTTCAGCCGGAGCAGAGTTCGATTGCAGATTCACAGATTCCCCAAACGATCCAAACAAACTAGAGTTTGATTAAAGCGAACTAAAGCAGGGCTGGTGTGGACACACCCTTAGGAAACACGAGGATGTACCCAAATTCAAAGGCGAAACCCCCACTTATCATTCTGTCATACATGTTCAGATAAAGATCTGCATAGTTGAAACAGGAAAACTTGGAGCCATCAGGGTCATAATTTCCAACAACAAGTCAGACTGCTGCCCAGAGCTATAATAGAGTTTTACGCAACGCAGACAGCAACACTTTGTACTGCATCCAGGATCTGAAAGCCTCGTGGTGACAGATGACAGTAAATGGTTTACTGCTCTTCTGCATTCCAGTTACTGTGTTTTCACTGCCAGAGCAGGAATCCAGCGATTCAGTTAATGAAAAAAAAAACCGATCACAGACCAAATGCAATGCAAAAAACTGAGTTTTATTCAGAAAAACCTCAGTTTATAAAGAGTTTTTAGCTAAAGTGGAAATCATTTTTTATTTCTCCTGTTAGAAAATGACCACAACCGGACAGGAAGCCTGCAGTAATTATAATAAAAAATTTATTTAAAAACAACTGTAGGGCTGAAGAGATTAATTGTGAAGAATCAATTTTTGAAATAATCAACTAACTTAGCTTATTAATCCTTAACTGAACTTTGCAAAAAGAACAACATACTGAGATTTGTAATTAAACCAAAACTATAAAAAGTATATATACACATTTTAAGTTTAAGATTAAAAAGAAAAGTAATTTAAGTAAAAATAAATAAATAAAAATCCTTTAAGCCCCCTTTGCTATCCAATAATCAGTTAATCCAAAAAACAAACAGATCGGTTGTAACTGCATTAATGTTAAGTCGAGCAGAAAGAGCCGAGCTTTTCACATGTTGGTTTGATTTTTTTTCCACTGCGTTAATCATCTATTGGTGAATTTTAACTTTGGTAGTTAATTACTTTTAAAATGTTTAATCTGTGCATGTTTTATGAGCTACTTGGTTAGGCCTGTCATGGTGATCAGAAGTTATTGATATAAACTGATAATGGCGTAACGATAAAAACACTCAAAGATCAATAACAAACAATAAATTATGTTGAATATTTAACACTGGAACTGAAAGATATTTTAAATGTCCAAATAAAGAAAGAGAAACAGAGAACAAATAAAATTAATTGTGAAGTCTAGACAAAATGATTCTTCAAAAAACTGGCTAGTTGAGGAATTTTATGGTCCAGCTTTTGATAAAAAGAGGAAAAAAAGAGAAAAGTGATAAATCAGGCAAATGGAAATTATTGAGCTCCTCAAACTGATGTTTGAGATTTTAATTTCCTTCTGCCTAAATAATTACCAAGTCATTTAACAAAAGTTAAATAATCTTTGCAGGCAAACCAAGATCATTCTCAGTTGTTTCCTGAAAGAGCTTAAAACAGCAACTAAATGTTTTTGACCTTTGCGTTACAAACTGGAGTGTTTATAGTTTTATAATCCTTCAGCTGCAGGTTAAACTCCACAGATCAAATGAGATAAGGAGGTTAAAGAAACTCGCTGGAGACAGAGCAGCAACACCAGGCCTCCTTCGACCGGTTAGTCATGTTCCAAAAGGCTTCGCAGAAATATTAAGACACTCGACAAGGAAGTGGAAAAGGCAGCAGATGACCTCTGAGCAACAATCCTCCAGGAATATACATGAAACTTCAACTTGTACCAACATGTAGTGAGATAACAGCCCACAGCTAAAGAAGAGACATTCAGACATACAGTGACTTGCAAAATGTTTTACACCCCACATTTTACTTAAAAGAGACAAAAATTTTGAGTCATTTTTGTGATCTATAAACACAAATAATTAAGTATTGTTCATACTTTGGATCAGTTTAAGACTCATTTTCATTTGATAAGAGCTGACATTGTATTTTATTGATTGATTGATTAGTGTTTGATGATCTCGGAAAGCACTTTGGTCCATTTACATACATTTGAAACCAGAAGTTTACATACACTCTGTTAAAGACACCTATGCATTTTTTTTACCACACTGACAAACTTTTCCCATTTTAGGTCAATCAAGATTACCAACAGTGGCAAATTTATTACTTTCTTTAAAGCCAGAAGCTTAAATAAGCCTTTAAACAGTTTGATGCCATTTGTTTGGAAGCTTATTCATAACATCTGAGTTAATTAGAGACACACCTGTGGGTGTAATTTAAAGTGCGCCTAAAACACACGGCTTCTTCGTGTAACATCAGTGGAAAGACTAAATAAAGAGAATTGCGGTGTTTCTTTTATAAAGTATGTAAACTTCTGGTTTCAGATGCGACGTTTATAAATAAAACGACTGGAGAAAAGACTTGATGTTTGTGGAGACAGAAACATTAGTTTGAGCGCCGCCCTGCAGGCTGAACTCTTTGTAGACCAACAGGTTTTCTTCCCATCAACCGGCTGAATGAAAACAGCCTGATGCTGCTACCACCAAGCTTTTTTCATTCATTTATCTAACAGACACCAAGTGAGAACATGAAAAAAATGAAAATAAAACAAATCATGCCCCATTGACAAGCAGTTTTACATATTTGATCTCATGATTTCCACCTGCTCTCATATTCATCCTACAAACATTTAAATCTCCACACATGATAAACTCTGAAATTATTCCCACATTGAAATACACTTAGACCTCTCATTCTCTTCCTTAAATGTAAAATTATTCCTAAATTTCATATGTTATACCCATCATGTAAAACATATGAATAAGCTTCTTTTTTACCAGATTTTTAAAGCAGGTTTATATCTGTACTTTGTTTAAACTCATCATTTAATCCAGTCCATAGATCTTCCACACACACTGATATTTATTTCCTGCTAATCTTAAATCATAACCCCCCCCCCCCCCCCGCCCACCCACCCGGTCAGCTGCCTGGTCTTCTCGCCTCG